CTCAATTCATTGAGCTACATCAGCCAGAACCAAGAATTATAATTTTTAATTCAAACTTATCCTCCTGTTTTTTCCAGTATATTTTGAAAGAAGGATGTTTACTGTATACTTTATTGTGTCTGTTTAATACTATTCACCCTTGAGCCACCAATGGAGATTTCCTTAAATTTGAATCTTGAAGTACATCAGAGATAAAGCACTTACCTTCTGTGAGCTGGACAGGTGAGAGTGAATATTCCTACTCCTTAGACGCTTGTAGTCACACAAATAGTATATAGATAAAGCTCAAAACTCTTCTAACCCCTTCATAAGCCACCCCCACCCCACCCCATTTACTTTGCACAGGTACTGCCCTCTGGTGATCACATTTGAAATGGCACCTCTCAATAGAATCAAACTGTTTTTTTGTGTTTTGTTTTTTTTTCCCACCCCCTGGTCATGCCTAGGAGGCAAACCAGAAAAAGTCAGTGTCAAGTGAATGTGGGGCTCCTTGTTGAAAAGTCAATAAGCTTTTGAGGATGGTGAAGGCAGAGTATTAAACCTACCAGCAGCCCTTAGTGACTGCACAGACTGTGAACCCATGAAGCTAAACTTTTCCAGCAGGGCAAAGGAATGTACTCATCCACCAAGTCAATTTCACCCCAAACTCAACTCCTAAAAACCATGCATACTTACTACTAGTGTCACACTTAAAAGTTTGAACTGTAGGCTTTCTTGCTAGAAATGATCAAAAGGGCAAATTTTCTAAATGCCTCAGTAGACACATGGGGTCTTAAGGGTGCAAGTGCATGCCTACTAATGTTCATACTTTTCAGACAATGACATTAGTGATACCAGTGACACCATGGAAAACATCAGTGGTAAGGATGGGCAGTTTATGCAAAGCGTTAAACCCACATCTGTGACCATTCAGGGATCTGCCACACAGTCTGGGTTATGCTTTACTCTGGGTACTCTCCAGAGTAAAAGACATGCTGTTGTGCTTCTACCTCCATTCAGTTGTTAGAAGAATGAAAGGTGCTTTATGGACCATCTGGTTTGACCTAATAAGAGAATAACATTTAGAATTCAGGTTTCAGGGCAGGGCCATGTTTTCTAAAGTAATACTGCAATAGCTCCTGGCTGTCTTTCAATTCCCAGAGGATTCAGATTGTCTAAATATGGGCTGTAATGTCACAAGGCAGCCAGACCGCCTCAGATTTGGGTTCTATTGCACTCACGGTTGTAAAGGTCAAGAAGAAAGTGCAGTGTCTATCACAAACAGAAGTGATAGATCACATTAGACAAGGGCAGGTGGCCCAGATGATTAGCAGCTACTGTTTAAGCAAGGCACCTGTCACATAGTTATCATCATGGAACCACAGGAAGTTCAATGTCACTGTCAACAAAGAAATCAAAGTCTCCACTCCGAGTTCATTCTGGACCTTAATTCCTTGTCCCAAATATACACACCATCAGCCACTATTTTTGCCTCTCCCCTGGAACTAAGGCAATCTATTAACACACACATCTCCCCTAAAATAAGTCTAACTTGTTAACTCAGCTGAGGCATGTCTTATGTTATGGGCTTTTATTTTAGTTATTCACAGCTTTTCAAGGCCATGTGGAAATGGTAACCCTCAGACCACACTGAGAGGGCTTGTTGCACAAAATTCCCCTGGGTTGAAATCAAGACTGGACATCATTGACCTTCAATCTTTTCCTCATCCTCAAGCCTGCCCTACATTCCCCACCTTTGCCAGGCTCCATTGAAGCCCCTCTGCTAGCCTTACTACCACCCGCTCCAAACTCCTCCCTGAATAAAATGTCTGTATTCCTGGTGCCCTCAATCTTACAAACCTTCATCACTCCTCAGAATCCTAGTTCCCAACAGGAAGCTAATCTCATCTTTCCTTTGATTCTTATCCCATGTCTCCTGTTTCATAACATTTTTTTGCCTAGAACATATGCTTTACCCTCTTTCACGAATCTGAGAACACTAATCTGAGTCTTCAAAGCCCTGCTCTTTTTCCAAACCCTGTGTCTCTCCCCACATACCCATCCTAGTCTGGGAGAATGGTTCCTCTCTCTTAACTGCACAAGCTCCAGTGGTCCCTCCCTCATCACTTAGGTCAGCCTCTTACTTGTCTGCCTCAGCCCTATCCTGAGCTTTCTTAATTAACCAAACTCTCCTTTATCACTTTCTCATGCCCCCTTTAATTTATATAGTGCCTAATACCCAAAACCCATATGCTTTATATTTCCCCATTAGGATCCTGAGAAGATCCTATTTCTTTTGACCCCCTCTGTATGCACACCTCTGCCTACTCGCAGTCCACCTCTTACCAGAAGATTCAGTCCACTACCTCAGAGGACCCAAGTAGGATGTATAAGGGAACCGGGAAAGATATTTCTTTTTTTATTTTCCAAGTTTTGACTGCATACAGTAAAGATAGGTGTGTGCACTTTGTACACATAACAGAAATCCAAGAAAAAGACACGGATTTGTTCCCTGAGTTCCATTTAAAAAAAAAAAACCAGGGCCTCCCAGACCAGTCGTGGGGGCTGATGACACAGGTACCTGCATTTTACTCGACTTTCTGGAGTTCATGACAGAGCAGTTTTCAAAACTTTGTAATCTTTTCCTTGAAGGTGAGTAAACATGTATGTACAATGCAAACACTGCTGCTGTGTAGGCCATTGCATAGGTGCAGGGGTTCACACCTGCCTTTTCTATCAGATTGTAAGACTAAAGTAAACTCATCCTGAGAGAAATGTGGGAAGTCAGGTCATCTTTGGCTGTGGACAGCAATTCAGAAAGAAGGCAGGGCAAATGAAATCAGTTACTTGGAAAATTGCAACTAGACTTTAATAAATTGGATAATTTGAAAATAAGATAAGGATGGGCACTGTAAGAGAGGCAAATAATCTGCTAATTATAAGGAGTTGATGTGAGAGTGAAAGATGCATCTAACAAATTTAAAGAAGCAAGAGAGGCATCTTAAATATCATGAGTCAGTATTGTGAGGCAGAATGCAATACCCTTGAAAGGCAATGCTTAGAAGATTTTAAGAACAAGAGAAAAATAAAATCAAAGACACCTCTGTTTGCTATTTGGCTTTACAAAAAAGAAATGTAAAGAAAATCATTTAATGAAATTGTCCCAGTTTGTCTTTCTACCTCATGCTTTCAACACTCCTCACAGAAGTTAATCTTTTACCTTCCCAGAGAGATGAGTCACAGACACCAGGAAAATTAAATACAAAATCAGGGGCTGATGGAGATAAGGCCAGCAGGATCTGGGAGTATTGTGGCGGCAATGAACAAATTCACACAGACTACAGAAATCCTATGGAGAAGAGGGATGGCATTGCTGCTCTCTAAGTGAGAGAGGGGGACCTGGCCCATGCCTAGATAGGTTTTTATTGCATTCCTTGCTACATTAGAAGGAGGATTGTCCTCATTTAGTATGCACAGGTTGGCTGTAGGTGATTACCTTTTGCAGATAACAAAGAGAAGTATGTTGCTAATTACTTCAAAGAGAAGGATGTTACAGATCAGAGAAACAAATGGTTGAACTGGTTATACTCCCTACTTGGGAGGGTTAGCACAGAATTTGGGAAGTTACAGGAAGCACTTCCTGCCTCAATTAAGAGTGAGAAAGTTTTAGCAAAAGTAGTTTTTATAGCAGGCTAGGTACAATGCAAGCATGATTCCTCATGGGTAAACCTCTCTATGGCCATTGTCCTGAATGCCACTGGCTCCCCACTGGTTTTCCACGTGAAGGCTAAACTACACCATGTGAAGCGGTTCCCTACATGCAATCACAAATTGCAATTTCATCATCTCTGGAGAAAATGCTCTAAAAATATACAGGTCAGAGGCTGGCATTTCAAGAGGTACCTGTGTAAAGGTCAACAATTACTCTGAAGAACACAAATGGCTCTTGTTGATAGCAAAACTCCTTTCTGCAGAACTACATCTCTTTCAGCCAAGACCAAGTTTTCATCACCATGAGTTATTGCAATTTATAAAGAGGTGCAAAATAACTGAGAGTCAGTCCCTGAAAAAAGCCATAATTTGATCTCCCAGAACTCTATGCTTCTGAAAATTTACATTTACACCCCGATTTTTCTCTGCAGTAACATTCCCTCTCTTCGAATGTAATCTTTAAAGATAAAGTGTGGACTTGATCCTACAACACGGCTGGAGTCACATGATTTGGCCTAAGAGCAGAAGAACTGACTTTTACCACTTTGTTTGCTTTGATGAAGGTTTTTCTACAGAACACGTGGTGGGAATTTTGTCACTTGAGGTTAAGGAGCTTCACCCTCTCACTTCACCTATAGTCTCTCAGTACTGTACTGCTTTTCAGGAGGTACCAAATGACCAAGAGATCAAACTTAGCTTCATAAACTATAGATTCACTTCCAATTCTATGGGAATTGGTCTGAACTAGAACATTTGAGCTAAATTCCTGGGTTTATTACCAAAGCTTGCAATCATATCTCATTAATAGAAAGAACAGAAATGAACTAAACTAATCAAATAGTTTCACTGACATATAAATAATAATACTGGAGACTTTAGAAATCTTTTGAAAGCTATCTAAGAGAAAGACTATGATCAGTGTTGCTACCCACATGGTTGTCCCTGTGTCCATTCCCATTGTCTTCAACTGTGACCAGGTGCCTTCTGATATTTGCATGGAGATGTGACAGAGCTCAGATTCTGTGCACTGATTACCTGCTCCCACTGGTTCTCATAGGACTACTGCTCATCCTCAGAAAAACACAATGCTAAGTCCACTGTGGACATGATACAAATGAGACCAAATCAAGGCAGAGGCTTGTTTGAAATGTGACCTTCAGTCAATAATAATGACAACTTCAGCTCACATTTTTGAGTGTTTATTGACTTAATGTAAAGCTTTTAAGAACTATTCACCTGCAGACAAATATATTATGATAATGCAAGGAAACTTAATTTAGAATTCAATAACAAAGAGGAAGAAAGGAGGGTCACTCATGTAGCACATGCAGTTCAATGGACCGACTTTCATCCCTCCTGAAGGCATTACTGGCTACACACTTGTAAAACCCAGCATCTTCCCTCATGACTGGGTCTATGGTGAGTCTTCTGCTATCCCCAGACAGTTTTATTCTTTTTGTGAACTTCAGATCCACGCCATTGAACATCCACTTGATGGAGAGAAGGTCTGTGTAGCAGGTCAAAACCACAGCATTTTTATTCTCTGTTGCCCAATACATGCTGGCATGGAGGAAGGGCCCTTTCTTATATTCTGGAAAGAAACAGATAATATGAATCTTTGATATAGGGCTTGAGACATGGAGCCATGCTGTTTCCTCAGAGATCTCCACCACTCACAGTCCCCAGTGAGCTATGAAAATATGACCAGAATGTGATGCTGACTTTTGAAGAAAAAATATATCTAGTTTTAGGTGAAATTATGTAAAGTGAAATCTGTACCTCATTTCTGAGCCATATAACCACAGAGTGTAGGGAACTGATTCTCAGAACTTGGAAACGTAGCTCAACCCCCATGTGGAAAACCAGTGGGAGGTGAGTCAGCACCCAGGACCACACCCATATAGAAGTTCTCCCATGGGAAATCAGGCCTGCATCATACTTAGGATGCTTTGTGACTTGTGCTTCCTGAAGTCTGTGCTAATTCTCCCAAATATTGAAATCTAACCAGACCTGCCACTCTCATCATTCCCTTACATTTGTAACATTTTTCAACAGACTGAATTGAGGAGTTTGGGTCTAATCAGCCCTTGGGCTCTCTCTTGTCTTAATCTTTATTTGTGCTTTATGATGTACATGGAAGTTGTTTTCTTGTGATCATGTTTGAAAACAGCAAATACTAGGCTTCACACACCTAACAGCTACAACTGATTTAGAAAATAAAAAAGGGGGAAATGTTGGGAGCAGCCTTACCTGGTTTCAGAAGCTATAACACCCCCATTGCTAAGGCTGAGTGAGCGACCTTTGGACCATAAGCCACTAAGGAATCAAATGTTATCTTTCTGCCAGGAGTGCCATTTTTGCTCTTTTTTCTATATCTGGCCCCCAATGCTTGATCAATATTCCAATGATGGATAAAATGCCACAAGGCTGCAATTTGGGAAGGAATCTGAGACCTTAAGAAGTTTGTCTGCACTCTGTGTATCCTACATGAAATGTCAAAACGGGACCTGAAACAAAATACAGAGTGGAATGGAGGTAGTGTCCAGGGCTGTCAGTCCTGTCTGTGAAGTAGGAGTCACCTCACTCAACCCACAGGCATCAGAGAGAAAATACTCACCATACACAAAAAGCAGCGCAGATCCTATGTATATTTCTGATTTTGGAAGATGGACTACTACGGTGTACATTCCTGTTTCATTTGTGGTGGCATTTTTCAACAGCAAGGATCCATCATCAGTTATCACCCCTAATCCATGGTCTCCAGGACCACTTAAATATTCACCGAATTGGTCCACCATAAAAAATGCAATTACATTGTTTGAGTCCGAAATGTGCCCCTTGTACCACACGATGCCTAGAACCTCAGGAGGCTTATTGAACATACGCAGAAGCACATCTTTTCCTTTCTCAGTGTGGTTCGACTCAACGCTGATTTTGGCTGAGGTGGGCGGACTCCAGAAGGTTAGGAGTAAAACTAGAAAATTAAAAAAAAAGGATTAATAATTACATTTATGTATTGGGATAGAAAGATGAGGCCCCAAATCCTGAGTAGGTTTCTTTATCTCTCAGCCTTGGTCTGCAGGTGAGTGTGTGTCTTTCATGGTCAAGGTCAACAGCTTGGTCCCCATTACTTCAGCATCTCTGAAGCAGCTATTTGTTCTGTTTCAAATAGTATTCCCCAGGCATTTGTCTTGGTCACCTCCTCACTGTGCATAGACCAATGTTGAAACTCAGGGGCAAGTTTGAAAGTCCCATTTGCTGACCACATTCTCTAAAATTATCTGCCTTCCCTTTCTGGCCTGTCTTGCTCTGTTTTTTTCATGGCACTTCTGGGTACCTGACTTCAAATCTACACCTCTTCTTGTCCCTCTCTCCTCTATAAAAAAAAAGGGGGGGGGGCTTTCTTATAGCAGGCCTTATCTGATCTTGAACCTTCAGTGACTCCAACAGCCTGGAAATACATGTTGATGAATGAACGAGTGCTGTACCTCCAGAGATTTACTTGCCCATTTCTGGGGTCTTCAGTAAAGACAATGTTTAGTACCCCTCATTAAATTTTTCTTGTGTTTTCTGACATAAATCATATTTGTCATTACCAGTTTTCATAATTCAATACTCAGTGATGAATAACAAGAAATGAACGTCAATCCAGGTTTCCCTGACTCCCACCAGTCCCAGATTATGAGATTTTCCTCTTACTGGGCCCCCTTCCCCATCATACTATGCTCCTTGTCCTTCTCCTTCAGGTCCAAACAGAAGCCTTCCCTCTTTTCTAAGAGCCCTGGTATTTTTAAGAGTCTCCAGCCCAGATTGTTAGCCTACTACCCCAAGAAATTGTCTCCTACTCACCAACCAGCAGGGGCCCTTGCCAGTGCACAAGTCCTCTGTGGGAAGAGACTGACAGGAATCCCATGGTGTATGTTGTCTGTTCTCTGACTGCCTCTTTGGGAGAAGCTTGAGATTCGTTGATGGTTAGAGGCACCTCTGTCCAGAATGGTGCAATGTGCTGTGTGTCCTACCTGTGGGCTGAGCTTTATTCTGGGGCAAGGTTACCAATCATGTCATGTGGGCTGGGGGCAGGGAGTATGCACATGACCATCTAACTCACTGCTCATGTTTCTGCTACCCTTTGCCCTTCTAACCAGTACAGTCTTTCTATAATATGGTTACTTTGGAACTCCTGAACACACTCAATACCACACAAACACACATGCAAATACATGCATGCATACACACACACACACACACTCACACTGTATCAGAAAAAGCTAAAGCCTGGGGATTCTGGGTCTAGGGCTCTCTCCGCAGTTTCCTGTCAGGTATCCAGTGGTCTTTCACAAATCCTTTCTCTCTCTCTCTCTCTCTCCTTCTCTCACATTTGGTTCTCCCCTTCAGAACAGTAGTTCTTGAGGTAAGTCACAGAAACCTGTCACAAGGAGGTCACTCCTGCTGTGTATTCACTTCACCTCTGAAACATTGTAAACATTGCAATACCCAGGAGACCCCTTAAAATGCAGGTTAAGCAGCTGTCCAGCTTATGTGGGTGCCCATTGAGAGTGAGATCCCTTGATGTGAAAGTAGAAACCCCTCTTCTGCTCTTCTGTGTACAGGGAAAGTCTCCAGATCCTGATAAACTGCAGATTCTAACTGGATGCAGTGAACCAGAGACTCTGTATCTTACAGGCTCTGGGGGGAAGTTGATCTTAATCATGGCCTATGGAGCTCACTTGCAATAGTAAGGCAAATGGGGACACAGGTTTTCTGAGAGGATGACACAATAATTCCAGCATTGGCCTCTGCTGTGTCTTTAGCTTGGGTCTGTCAGCATTACACACAGAGACCCAGATATCATGAAGAAAGGGCATTATTTGTTTTTGACACAGAAACGCATCTGGGCACCAGGTCTTCCCCATGTTCTCAAAAGCTCTCTGGTTTTATTCTTTCCCACATGAAGGTAACAGAAATAAGTCTGTGAATGAGAAGTGGTCAAACATGGCCATAATTTCAAAACAGACCCATCTTCTATCTCAGGTTGTCATCAGACTTGCTTTTGCTTCCCAGGATATAAACTCAAAACCAGAATTCTTAATAGGACATACAGTTTTGAGTGTGAAGGGGGAGATGTCCTCTGTGTCCCCAGAAGAAGAGACTGTGGTAAAAGTTTGGGTGGCTGTTGGCTGCCTGGTCCTCAACAGACAGTTTCAGGAAGATTTCTGCTCTCCCAGTCTGTTTATAGGACCAGTCCTTGGGCTGCTGGTTATTGGGACAACTTCAGAGTTATCCCTTGGCAGATTCTTTGTCATCACCAGACTTGCCCATGGGTGATGGCATATATGGCCTAGAGAGCAGCACAGCAACCCCGGAGAGAGGAGGTGCTCCTAGGCTCGGTCAAGTTAAAAATAAACAAACAAACAAACAAACAAAAACCCTCCAGGCTTATACAGCAATGTATTGAGTTTATCTGATCCAAACTGACCTCATATGTCTTGGAGAAAGGACTCAAATTCTTTGAACAAAGGCAGTTTTTCAGCTCATTTTATACATTAGTATCAAAGTAGATTATAAAAGTTGCTTAAAATCCAGAAGGAAGTGACAGAAATCATAGCAAAGAAATCACCAGAATTTTTAAAAAATATTTTATTATTTATTTATCTTTACAGGGGAAGGGGGGGAAGGAGAGAGGGAAACATCAATGTATGGTTGCCTTTTGTGCGTCCCCTGCTGGGAACTGGCCTGCAGGGAACCGGCCTGCAACCCAGGCATGTGCCCTGACTGGGAATCGAACGGCAATCGTGTGGTTCGCAGGCCCGCGCTCAATCCACTGAGCTACACCAGCCAGGGCAGAATTTTTTAAAAGAAGGCAAAATGGACAATCACACATTTTTTACTTTGGTGGGTAGAGGATAATTAGCATTTACAGAACACAGAGAAGATGAACAGGGGGCCAGATAACACAAAGGATGCTGTGGTCTCATACAATTGTTCCAGACTCTGTGACATGAATGGTCCAGAGAAGAAAATCACTCTGATGTATCAAACTCATGCTCTTGAAGATGCACAAAAATGGGTCAGGGCTCACAAAAGTTAAAGACTAAATGTTCTTAAGAAAAATACAGGCCTGGGATGTGATAACCTGCAGTGATAGAAATTTCTGATCAGAATATTTTCTGAGTATTGTCAGGCCTGCCATGGGACCCCTGAGCTTGTCAGGGTTACTTCATGGCCCCTTTCTGATAACAGTGTCTGGAAGTAGCAGGTGGAACAGAGCAGCCAAGAAGGAGGACTCTTGAAAAGTCTGTTGAAGTAGAGGGTGAAAATTAGGCTAGTTGTCTATTTTCACCAAAGCCAGGTTCCAGCATGTGTGTCTTTTTCATGTGTGTCTCAATGTGGTGCGTTAGAGGACAGAGGCAGACCTGCAGCCGATGTCAGGTGCTGCACAGGTTTTCCGAGGTGTACATGGTGAGCCTAGTGAGAAGGCAGGCATTGTCCTGAATATTATGAATCCAATGTCAGGAGAATTGTCCCACCAGCAGCATGTGCTGAGCCAGACAGAGCTCTCTGATTCCAAGTATCCAAAAGAAGGGCTTGGTGAAGGTTCTACCGAGGCTTTTGGAAGAGGGTGCTGGCCTGGAAGGTCCATCTGAACTATGCCCTGTGTGTCTACCATCACTACATTGAGATGTTGCATATAAGTTATTTCTGTGTCCCTGTCTGAGTACAGGGTGCAAGAGCAGGAGCATCTCGAGGTAAATACTCAACTAAGGACTCTGTGTATTTATTAGAAGAACAGAGGTTGTTTTTAGAACCCTCACCCCCTCTGAGATGAAAGCAACCATAGATATTGAGTTTTCCTGCTCCGTTTTACACAGGAAGTTTCCCTTGTTCCCCAGAACATCGTGACCTAGACAGATGTCTTCAGAAAGAACAGGCAGCTGTCCCACAGACCAAGAATTTTGGTAATAAAAAGTGTTCCCTGATTCCTAAAAGGTCAGGGTGTGCTCTTTCCTCCCCTGTCAGTAACGTTTCCAGGGGTTTAGAATCCAGTGTTTCTGTCAGGTCAGGAATCTGTGAGAACAGGAAAAACAAAGGCCTGGTGTGATGAAAAATAACTCACAAGGTGAAACTTAGGAAGGCTTTGGCTTTGGAGAAATAAATGCATTCCGACCCCTCACTATTAGGAAGTACCTTTTGTTCCTCCTGACTGTATGAGAAATATAGCCTGTCCCTAGTATGTCCCCAAGCAGGCATCCTCCTCCTACCATGCTGACACCAGTGCCTTTGTGTCTGTAAGAACATAATTTGACTGCGAGCATCACACAAAGAGTGATAGGCTTCCCTTGTGCAGTTTTTCTTGATGATTTAGCAAGTGTTTACAGAGCATCTGTCATGTGTCAGGCTCCTGGCTGTTCTCTGGAAACTCCAAACAGAATAAGACAAGTGTGAGCCCTGTGCTCATTGACTTTACCTTGTAACACAGACAGGCTGTCAGGTAAATCATGGCTCTAGGAACTTAATTATAATGAAGTGAAGGACTTCAAAAAATTTCTGGTCCCTCCAGAGTATATAATTGAGTCTTGCCTGGTCTGGGGAATATGGAGTGAACTTCTGGGCAAGTATCCACTTGGCTGAAATCTGGAGAGTTAGTGGAAATTTAGTCCATTAAGAACAGAGGGTGTTAAAAAAAAAGCTTCCTCAGAATATTGACCTATGTAGGAGTGATGCTTGGCTGGATAGAAGAGTAGACAGAGTCCATTTTGGGAGCTTGAAGAGTTAGAAAAACTGTGGAATGAGTGATACTGTTGAGGTTGGTCCCCTGTTGCACTATGAGTTCTGCTTAGGTGGAGTAGCAGGGCCCAAAAAAGGCTGCTTTTGCAGAAAAATTCTGGTGCCCCCTGTGGATGAGTAGAAAAAACAGCAAGAAAATGTCATGTTACAATTCGGTAGCTTTTTTTTTTTTAATTTTGGGCTTGGTATTAAACTTTTACTTTAGGCAATTTTTCATAAAACTATGTGTAATTTTAATATAGTTATTGAAGTATAGTTGAATATAATGAGCTTAACACATTGAAAATATCCAATGTATGATGTTTTCACATGTATGAACCTGAGAAGTTGAAAATAAAGACCATGTCTCTTGGAATTAAAGTTTTCTCCTGGCCTCTTATAATCTCATTTTTCTTCATCTTGTAACCTCTGTTTTTACTGTGAAGAAATCTCCCTTCAGCTTTTTTTATTATAAATTAATTGGTACTTTCTGGAATTTCCAAAAAATTATCATAAACTATGTTATATGAGGCTAAATTTGGCTTTTTCACATATTTTTTTTCTTTTTACACTCTAGTTATACCTCACTCCAGGGATCCATTCATATTTATTGTCTATTCACAAATCATGGACACTTGAGCTGTTTCTGGTTTAGAGCTCTAACAATAACCCTGCCATGAACTTGTGTATGCAAAAGTCTTTCACACAAAGAATCAGCACTTGTAAAACCACTGAATATCTATAGAAAGAGAAGTTAGGGAGTTACCCCAGGATGTCTGGTCTCAAGGTCGCACTGTATAAGCACACTAAGAAGTTAAAAAACAGGTGCTTCTTCACATAACACTGTTTCTGCCACAGCCCACCCATCAGTCACCACAGTAGCAGAAACAATAGCTCTGTTTTTCTTCCAGTTTCTAAATTATGAACCAGTGTACCTCAGAAAATGCATTTAATTCACATCTGGACTTTCAATCTCTAAAAGCAGGGGAAAGGTGGTGTTTAAATTTTCAATCCCTTTGATCCATGGAAAAATCCCTCCAAAAAAGAAGCACAGATGCCAAGTGCCCACTAATAATACAGAGCCCACCTGTAGGCTGTGTTCCTCTGGGTGAGTGACCCCACCACGAGATACATCAGTTCTCACATGTG